TGTTTTCTTGAGCTGATTTTTTTGGCAACTTTTAATACATGAATATAGGATGTTTGAGCTTTTTTTTTAGCTTTGATATGTTTGTCTTGATAGATTTTGATTGGGTTTTATTAAGCTTTGATCATTTTGGTGTTATAAACTTGTTAGTTGTGCTTGATGTAGTTTTGATGCAAATATTTTGATGATATTTTACATATTTACTCTTGAGGGTATGAACTTGAGTTTGAGTTTCTAGTTTAACTTTAGTTGACTATTTTCCCATTTTTGATTGGGTGTCAAATTAGGGTTTGTTTCTTGCATGTTTGTGCTTCATCTGTTTGCTACCAACTTTTGACATAGAATGGTGCTTGATCCTTGTTACCTGCTTTTATCATTATTTGATCATCTTGTTTAGCATTGATATACTCGTGATGTTATTTATGCATTTGATTATTATCATTTTTCTTTGAGTTCCTTTGTCAATACTTGTTATTACACGTGGAGGTCTCTCCCCTAATTCCAAAGGAAGGTATTTCCCTGTTGACTGACATGTCACATTTAGGATAACATAGCCCTCCTACCTCACCATTGGCCTTGTTAGAGCCACTGTCTTTTGAACCTAGTTTTATGTTAGGGTTTATCAACCTTGTTTAAGTGCCATTGTCATGAGTACTTATCCCCCCTCCTTTTGGTCTGGCTAGAACCAATTGATCTTGCAACTTAGGATTAGGTGTAGAGTTTGTAAACTCTATGTGAGTATCATTGTTATGAGTACTCACTTTCCCCTTTGACTTTTGTTAAAGTCAACCCTAATTAACTTTCAACATAGACTTAGAAAGTTGGTTAACTCTATGTAAGTGTCATGGTTATGAATACTTACTCCCCTCTAGAACCTTGACCATAGTCAAGAGTTCCTCAACCCTAGTTAGGTGAACTATGAATGCTCTGATTCTATCCTAGCTAGGATACATAGGCACGAGATGCAACGTCTTGGCGAGCATACTTAGTGTATATACCCTAGGTTTTTACTTTAGCACAATTCCCTTAGCAAGCAAACTTTAGCATAACACAAATACTAACCAGAGGTTCCTGTAGAGTACTACAAATACTCAGGATGCTAACACCTTCCCTAGGTATAACCAACCCCCGAACCTTAGATCTTTAGCTTTGTTGTTACATAACGCACTTAGGATTTTCTTTGATCTTTATCCTTTCCTTTGGATAAATCAAAGCTCGATGGTGAATTTCATAGATTTGTGATTTAAGTTAACTAATAGCTTGATATTCGATTCTCACTGCAACACACACTCATCATCTTCAACATCTCTTCTATGCATACACACCATCAAACTACACATAATTTTTTTTTGATTGAGTGACCATCTAGATTAGGATTGATAACATCCAATTAGGTTGGTGTACCAAGATTATTGGGTTGAGTTCTTTGGGGGTTCAAATAAGAAAACTGAGTTGCGGTTTTCTTTCAAGATCGTTAAGGATTTGAAGATTTTGGACAAGATTACACAATTCATATCAGATCGAATGAAAGCCTTAGGACAAGGTAATTCCTTGCAAGGGAGTAGCGTGATATGGTGGATTGTGTTGGTAAATCTTGGGTTTCAACAAGTGTGTGCTTGGGATTAATTCGACCGTGTGAAAGCCTTAGTACAAGGTGCTTCCTTGCAAGGAAGTAGCAAGAATTGGTGAATTGAAGCGACATTATTTGTGACTCGATCAATTTTTGATCAAGGATTTTGGAGGTGGTAAAATTAAAAATAGACCATAGAGTTAGAGTTCTTCATCTCTTATATATACACTTTTTGAAAAGTAAGGTTAATTGCAAATATTTCAATTTGATTTCGAATTTATGGTAGACGTATCCATAGCGAGGCCGGTTGCAGAACTGCCTAATCAAATCCTTGTCTCTCTCTCTCTCTCTCTCTCTCTCTCTCTCTCTCTCTCTCTCTCTCCCTCCCTTTTCTATGTATCTATCTATTTCTCTTTAATTTTTGTTTTTGCAAATTATTAGATTCATTGTTTGTTTGGGAATTATTTTTTATCATATTTTTGAATTAGGTTTTATTGATAGAATCATAATTCTGTTGATTGTGATTGATTTTTGAATCAATAAAACAAATCAAATTTTCAAAGGATATCGATTGCACACAACATGTTTGATAATTTGTCCATTTGAATTTTTGTGTGTTTTTTATCATTGGAAATAAGCTCTACATATAGCTTAGCATTTGATTGTGTTGTGATTAATCGTTGTTGGACAATTTTTATTCATCATCATTCAATTATATACCTTTACACATATCCGAGCTTTTTGATAGAGGTTCGGTTAGACGATTCGATTCAGGTTGTTTCCACCATGCCATAAAACTTTTGAAATCCATTTTGGCCAAAAGTTTTATTTTTAATTTATGATCTATTCACCCCTTATAGATCGAAGTCTATCGTCTAACATTTTTTATACCAATGGATCTCCTCTTGTGGAATGATCTCATCATACTCGTGTTGGAGATAAAATTGTCTTTCCGAATCTATTCTCTCCAAAAAGAGTCGGATACAGTGTCTTCTCAATGTTATGCTTCCTTTTGCTGGTTTTGCCAAAAGTTGCCTTATTAGAAATGATAGATTCGTGCTGCACAATTTAGAGACAAGTTGCAGTGCCATCTGGGGATCACCCCTAAGCAATTTGGAATGTATTGGAGTATACTGGGGGAGTTATCCAAGTTGCCTTAAACCTAAAAGGAAACATCCCATGGTCTTGGAGGGGAAGTCCATATCTAAGAAGGATGAGGTTGCGATCAAAATGAAATTTACACAACACTTCAACATATGCATCAGGGAAGGCTATGTGCCAAGCAACATTAATGAGGGTCCTATCCAGATTGTGATAGACCATTCAATTACAAGTACAAGGCTTATTCCATGTAAGTTTTCCACCAATCATGTCTACTTCAACTAAATTACATTTATCAATGACATTCAACAAATATCCTACCATAAAATGATTAAAATTACCTTCTTCTTGTTCACTTAGACGAATGATGTGGATAAAGTCTTCAATTAACATCCAAGGACCATCAACAATGTTCCTCTAATAATTGAGGTGAAGCCACATGTTAAGACAAGAAGTATACACGAGACTAACATAAATTCTAGTTACATGCTAAAATGAAGTTTCCAATGATAGTTTAATAGTAATTTTATCCATAAAACATAATTCACGATAGCTATAATGTTACTACCATTCTTCTTTAACACTCAAATTCTCCCAAATTGACCATGCGCATTCACGTAGTGAACACTCACATATCCAGTTCTACCCCTTACGGATTTGGTCTTATGAAAACCAACGTGTGTGTTGTATAACAATTAAAAATGTTGGATAGTGTTTTCTAATCACATAATCATGTGTCTTTTAGCCTTATTATTAGTGGCTCCCCGAATATTCGAGGAGACCACGACGATTTCTTTGAAATTTAACATGACAAGTCTAGTTGATGGAGGTGATAAGAAAGTTCCAAACACGTGACAATTTACGTAGCTAGCTCCTTTTCAATGGGAGTTTAAAAAACAACTTCCTTTTATTGAGTAGCACACTCATCTATAACATATTGCTTATTTCCATCTATCTGACTTGTTGTCGGTTCAAAATGCAGAATATTGTATTGTGTTATGGTCTCCAAATCCAAATTTAATATGTGAGCGATGAAGGTGTATTTAGCAGTGCTAGGCACACCCTTTTGTGCTAGGCAGAAATTAAAAGTTGGCTCAGTTTTATGCGAAGGCTCACTAATAGCAAAATATGGTTCAAATATGGTAGGCTTGACCTTGGAGCATGGTCCCCTATTCATTATGGCTGACGCATGTGTTGGGGTGGGTCAATTCTTATTAAATCAACGTTTCTTAACACCTGTGTCAAGTTGATTTGGTCTAACAATTATGATGTCAAGGGTTATTCCTTTTCAGGAAACATCAATCGCTTTAAATTTAGAATTTTCGGGATATCTAGGCACATTAATGAATAAAGATTTCCCTTGACCATACATAACTGATTGTTTCATTGCGTTTTTTCCTTTGCACCACAATCCAATCACCATGATTTGCATTTGTTTCTCCATATTCTTTTGCTACAATTTCGACGCTTTCGTCTCCCACTTCTCGATACAAGTTTTGTTAGTCTTTGCTCATAGACAACATCGTTTTCATGCGAACCTCTTGGTTGCACCACCATAGAAACGATCGACTGCGCCAAATTATCTAGTATATTTTGCAATCACATGTGTGATGTCTATAATAACCACAACTGTAACAAATAATATAAAGACCTTCATATTAGATTTACTCTCTCATTTACAATAATGGTTCGTTGTTCTTCGATGAAAATATTCCAAAACGACAGTCTACGAGACTTAGGCGCACCTGCGTCTAATGACTCGTCATAGACGCACTTGCGTCTAATGACTCGACCCATGACGGCGACATGGAAGCGGCATAAACAAAAAAGACATCATGCAAAAACTTCAATGTTAAATATTTGCCATGGATTAAGAGATTTTTTAAATAAATTATTATAATCTTATTTACCATCTTTGCGTATGGATAAATATTTTCTTTAATGTCCTACGAAGTTCAACTTCTTCCTTTTAGTTTAACCTAGCAACATATGCATCTGTGATTCAAGCACGCGCTGGTTCATCTTTCGTATAAGGATTCTTCTTCGCCATCCCTCTTCCTTCTACTGCGATTCTTCAGGTTAGTCTCTCCCACTTTTTTTAATTTTTTATTTATTTTCAAATCTTCATTGTTGCGGGCGCGAAACCCCCCGCGACGGCAGCTACTTCAGAGGCAGCCGTGACAGCGATGGCCGCCGCGATTGTGTTTCTGTTGGTCGCGATTAAACTACCTAGGTTTTGATAGTTGTATGCTTGAATCGATTAATTTATTAATAATGTTAAATTGATATACGAAATAGGTGTGTCATTGTTTCGTACTCACATTCAGTTTCAATGACTAAGAGACCAAAGAAATCAGACTCAAATAGGAGAGGAAAAAGAAGAAAGTCATCCGGTGGTTTTTCACCGTTGGATGCACCTTCTTCCAATGTTGTGTTCCGATTGCTATGTCCTGCTAGTAGAATTGGTGGTGTTATTGGTAAAGGCGGTTCGATCATATCACAAATTCGACAAGAAACTGGGGTGAAGCTTAAAATTGAAGAGCCTGTGCCGGGCTGCGAAGAGAGAGTTATAACTTTTTTGAATTCTGATAAGGAGACCGAAGAAGGTAGCGCCGAGCAAGGAAAGGAGGTTAATAATAATAATAATAATAATGATAATAATAATGATGGTGATGATGAGACTGAAAAAAAGGGGAAGGATGATGACGGGAAAGGTAACGGGGATGATAATGAAGATAAAGATTCTGCTTCTGTCGAAGATTCGCAGAGCGACAAGGGTAGTTCGAATTTGACTATTCTGAAGGCTGTGACACTAGTTTATGAGAAGATGGTTGAAGGAATAGAGGATATGGGTGAAGGTGGTGATGAAAGTAAAAAAGCTTCGTACTTTGCTTTAAGGCTGCTTGTGCTTTCTAATCAAGTTGGATGCATTTTGGGAAAGGGTGGAAGTGTGATAAAGAGGATGTCAGCGGATAGCGGGGCACATATTCGGATCCTTCCCAAAGAAGAAATTCCGTCGTGTGCGATGGATTCTGATGAGCTAGTTCAGGTAAATATCTTTGACATTGTCTGCACTATAGCAGAGAAGGTGTATATTATTATTATTATTATTATTATTATTATTATTATTATTATTATTATTCCATAAATAGCTGTTGTTGCTTTTTCAAATGTTATTAGATTTAACTGTTCGTGAATTTTACCTGAATGAATTTTAGTAGTTTTAGTGAATACACACAAGCAGCTGGAGAAAATTTTAGGGTTTCCATTAGTTGCTATCGTGACGCATTTCACTTTCTTTTAGACAAGGTCATGCTTTGTTTCATGTTTCAACATATGTTTCATTCATGCTATGGTGTAGATCACAGGAGGAGTAGAGGTTGTCAAGAAAGCTCTTCAATCTGTTTTTCAGCAGCTTTTGGATAATCCATCTCGTGATCATGAATCTCTCTCCACCAACCATACTGGGCCGTCATCTCATTCTCATTCCTTTGGTCAATTCCCACAAAATAAACGAACTTTTGCTGGTCAAGGAGCACCTTTTGCTACCGGGCCTAATGAAATCCCTGTTTTCCATTCTGCTCCAATGATTCCCAAGTTTCATGAAGGCCCCGTTCGTGGTCGCATGAGGCTTCCACCGGAAATACTTACTTTCCGTTTATTGTGTCCGTCCGAAAATGTAGGGACCTTAATTGGCAAAGGTGGATCAATAATTAAGACTATGCAACAAGAAACAGCTAGTGAAATCAAGGTTATAGAAGGCAATCCGGGTTCAGAGGATTGCATTGTCGTCATATCTGGTCCAGCGGTATTGTACAACTTTTCCATTTTCTCATTTGTGCCATTGTTGTGGAGTCACATCTTTTTTTTTTGTTGCTGATATTAGTTTAATAATTGCAGCACCCAGATGATAGAATATCTCCTGTGCAAGAGGCTATATTTCGTGTGCAAAATAGAATATCCAGGGCTATTCCTGATACCAAAGCGCAAAGTATGTTAGCAAGGATTATTGTTTCTTCAAATCATATAGGCTGTCTCCTTGGGAAGGGTGGGTCCATTATTGCTGAAATGAGGAATTTATCAGGTGCCCATATTCGTATGTTGGGAAAGGATAAGGGTCCGAAGTGTGTTTCAGAAGATGATGAAGTAATCCAGGTTCAATTTCTACCGAGTCTGATATTGGTGTATATTTAAAATCTCTCACTTTATCCCATGTGGTATAAGTTTCATAGTAATGCTGCTATCTTGTAATTATTGAGATGAAATTAAACTACTCCTATTGGCATTTGGTAGATACAATATACGGTCAATATGACCTATAATCTATAACAGAATAACCGTTATATCTCGTCAGATCATATTCTCAACTAATATAGCTTTTCAACTGTGAAGTTGGAATAACTGCCTGATAATTTCATTTACAGTACTCATTTATCAATTCTGTAAATGACTGAGATGCATGCTTTGTGATTGGTCTATACTGATTTAAACAATTTTTTATGAAGTATTATTTGATGTTTCCAATGGCTGTCGCTTATCCTCTTTACAGGTAAGTGGAGAAATCGAGGCAGTGCATGATGCTCTTTTGCAAATAACAACAAGATTAAGAAATCATTACTTTCGAGATGCATTTCCATCTGCTGATTTTCCTTCAAATTCTGGATTTCTGGATCAACATTCTTCGTTCCCACCTTATTTGGGAAGGCGGGGACTTTCACCTCCCAGAATGTATTCTGACCTAGGCCCACCACCTCCACATGCTGGTTTTCCCCTCGATGATCACCCTCATTTTACCAATAATATGTATAGACCAGGCCTTCCTCCTCACATATCGGAAAGGAAGCCTTGGGGTCCTAAGGTATTTGACTACTTTTGTTGTTGTTGGCCTGTTGGTACTAATTTTGTTCTACCCACTGCCTTTGGAGCATATGCTCTGGTGACTTATATTTAGGCTATCTTTTATCGAACTGTTGATCTGTGTGTTGAGATTAGTCTTGTTGAAATTGTTAAAGTTGAACTGAATGAGAAGGAGGAAGGAACTGTAGTACAAAACACATAGTTTGCATCAAAGTAATGTGGATGTAGTTATTTCATCTAACAGAGATTTTTTTAATCTTATGTTATGTTTATTCTTATATTTAATTCTAAAATGTTTGAAGTTTCTTATTGTATGAAATATTTCATTTGAATTTAACTTCGTTGATCTATTTAATTTCATATATACCACATGAGGTTATTGATGCATCCCTAAAAAATTTCATATGGTAGTGCATATCAATCTTTAGGTGCAATTAGTCTAAACAAGATATTTTCCCTTCCTGATATGGGTATTAATTGTTTTGAGTTAATCATATTGGATATCTGGTTCTAGGGGCTACTTGAAGGTGGTGGACACATGGGCTTGCCAGAATTTGCAGGAGGTCCTCGAAGAATTTCTGGATTTGCAGGGTGTGTATATCACTGTCAATAATTTTATCATCTTGATTATTTTTCAAGTTTCTTCTAACTCTTTCTCTAACTGTTAATTACGGGGTTTTATCATGCAGAGGAAGCCTACCAATTATCACTAGTACCACTGTTGAAGTTGTTGTTCCCCGAGGTCTGGTGCCTGTAATATACGGGGAAGATGGTGAATGCCTGAGACAAATACTCCAGGTGAGGCCATTAACATCTGACAATTGATGATGTTAATTTTGTTGTTTTTGGCTGGCTGTTGGAGGACTTTTGTGCTAATAATTTAAATAGTTGCATGAGCTACTCATACATGGACTTGCAATCCAATATTACTTCATATAAACTTGTGCGCTAATAAATTTTCTCGTAATACACAAAAGGGTCCTACACCCTGAATGCTCTGTGTTGAGGTGAGTAATTGTGCGTGTTTCTTGTTGAAAAGGACTGTTACTTTTTTCGGTTTTAAGTGGAAAGCAAATTGTAGGATGGTCTTGGGGTGGTTATTGATGAAAATCATAAAATCACTGTTTGATTTTAATGATTTTGACATTTACAATGTCATCTACGCTTGCAGATATCTGATGCAAATGTTACTATTACTGATCCAAAACCTGGAGCCGCCGAGACTAAAATTATAATATCTGGAACCCCGGAGCAAACTAATGCTGCACAAAGTCTTATTCAGGCATTTGTCATGATTGAGGGGGAGTCTGGTTGATCTATCCAATTGGGTAATACACTGAATCATTTTGTTTTTAAGTCTGGCAGATGTAATTGAGCTCAGTTTTTGGCATAATATTATTTTTCTCTGGATTATAATCTTTAGTAGGAATGTCCATTTAGTTTGACCTATTTGAACTTGTATAATATTATCCTATAGAATTATGGCTGCTCCAGCTTTCTTTTTATGTGCATTTAGTTTGACCTTTTGAACTTAAATCACATCCTATTTTTGACAGATTTTCATTATGTCCTAGTTATATATATATGCCTTTTGAATCTCACTGAAAATATATGTCAAGTGTTATGATGTTTGTAGAAGAAAGCTGTTTGGAAATTGGAACCTAGAGAAAAGAAATGAGAAATTCATAGAAACATTAAAATTACAATTTTATTGAGAACTAGGTCAAGTGTTTTTGTTTAGCCGAAGATTATTGAGAACTAGGTCAAGTGTTTTTATTTAGCCGAAGATAAGTTGTTGGGAACCTTGGGAAAAGAAGTGAGAAATGGATAGAAACAATCTAACTAACAATTTTATTGAATACTGAAAATAGGGGGAGATACTTGTTCTCTCGCATTTTCTGTATACATTCAACAGAGCTATTGCTCTGTTTATCTTGCTAAATCATCTCTTTCCCCTTAGCCCACCTTTTTAATTTAACAAACCCTCTCCAACTAGGCACTACTCTAATTGTGTTTAGCTAATTTCCTTTTTTTTTTTCTCTGTGTGAAGACATTTAGCTAACAAACCCTCTCTAACCTGAATGCACCCAGTGGTTTCTGATTTATAACCCAAATTTAGACAGAAGAAGAAATTGTGTTATTGATTGAAAATAGAATTATTATGTAACATAAATCCAGGGGTTAGTCTAGCGGTGAAAGCTTGGATCTTAAGAGTGTGTTTCTCTCAAGATTTCATGTTTGAATCCTGCTAGGTGCAAACAATTTCTGTGTTGGCACCCGTTCATATATGGCTTAGCTCTGGTTTTAAACGGGACTCTCGAAAATGGACAGTGAGATTGGTCCCCTTAGATTAATCGATCACCAGTTCATACATGGCTTAGCTCTGGTTTTAAACGGGACTCTCGAAAATGGACAGTGAGATTGGTCCCCTTAGATTAATCGATCGCAAGGTCGGATCCCAAAGATTTAAAAAAAATTATTACATAAGAACCCCAAAAGCAGATGCTCCTCGATCACCAGTTCATACATGGCTGGTTTTAAACGGGACTCTCGAAAATGGACAGTGAGATTGGTCCCCTTAGATTAATCGATCGCAAGGTCGGATCCCAAAGATTTTAAAAAAATTATTACATAAGAACCCCAAAAGCAGATGCTCCTCAGAAAAGAGATAATACTCTCTCAAAGCCATAATGTAGGCCTTTAGTTGAAAAGTTGGCCCATGAGTCCCTCACTGCTATCCTTGTAACAGACAGGGCACCTCGTGAAAAGTCAAAAATATCCTCAGAATTTGGAGATGCATCTCCAGACGCACCCGATGCATCCACAACTCATTCGTTTTTGAGTCACATTTTAATTTTATGACTAAATTTAGTTCGGAAATGCATTTTCGAAAAAATATTATTTTTTCGTACTTCTGACTTTTATATAGTTTTCATTCTTACTAAATACCTTATCGACAAGAGGTCTTTTATTATTTTTTTTTATGAAGGAAGTCAATATGCTACCCTCTGAGACATGCAACTAGCCAGTATAATCAATTACATCATACATAAAAAAGTTGGAAGACTTGTATAGTAGATAAATTTTGTCCAGAAATACATTTTCGGACTAAATTTAGTCATAAAATTAGGACGTAGCTAGTGTATGCATGGGATGCGTTCGGAGATGCATTTTTTAAATTTTAAGAGATATTTTTGGAATATCATAAGGTGTTATTCCACAACATAAGGTGGAATAAGAAATCCCCTTTTATCAATTCTATATTCAGTCCATTTGTTGGTTTATGGTCCAAACCGGGTATCTAATACTACCTCCGATCCTATTTATAAGAGAAAATTTATTTTTTAGGTTTATTGAAAAATTAATGTATATAGACCGTATAATGTATCAGATATATTAATTATTCAATAAATCTGAATAGTTAACTTTCTCTTATAAATAGAACGGGAGGGGAATTTTTTTCATCCCTACCATCTTTTTAGGAATTTATTTCCAAAATACCCTATGTTTCAACAAATATACCAAAATGCCACTGTTTCAAAAAAATATTTTTTTGGAACAAGGGTGCCGCCCATTCAATGGGCGGAAGTGTTCAAATTTTTTAAGGTGCCGCCCATTCAATGGGCGGAAGTGTTCAAATCTGATTTTTTTTTACGTTTTAATTAAGACACTGCCGCCCATTGGAAGGGCGGCACCCAATAAATTAAGACATTGCCGCCCATTGAAAGGGCGGCACCCTTGTGCCAATAATCTCAATTTTTTTGAAAATGTGACATTTTGGAATTTAATTTGAAAAATATGGCATTTTGAAAATTATTGTCTAAAAATATGGCATTTTGAAAATTATTGTCTAAAAATATGGCATATAGTGCAAAATTCACGGGAGGGAGTACCTATCTATTAGTCGTGGGACATTTCTGTCTGACGTGAATCAGTCACAGAATATATGTATGACAATTCAGAAATTGAGTGGGTAGTCAAATGATTCTGTAGAATAACAATTTTAAATATAAGTGCTAACTTTCAAACGTAGAGATTATTCATGCCATATATGTACACTGCAGCTTGGTGTTATGTTCTTTCTTCCATAATCACCTGATAACATTACATATGCGTGGAATTGCTGGTGACTTATTAAAAAAAAGCGAAAAGTTACTTAGAAAATAGAACAATATAGAACAAACAGAAATAAGTATTATTGCTGAGCTTTGAATGGCCGGTATTTTTTGAGATCATGAGCAAGGCCTTGGATGGAACCAGCAGCTGAGATGATAGAAACGATGAGGCACGCCCAGCTCAATATCTTGAGCCATGTCCATGTGAAGGAAAATCTTTGCATCTTGGACTGCTTAATGTACATCTCTATGGGGAAATAAACCGTTAATGGCCAAAAGGAAACTGAACCAATCAAGCCTAGGAAGTCATTGAAGAATGGAAACATCATAGCTATGAGAGAAGTGACAGCAACATATGTTGTTCTCGACACTAGCCTGAAGAAGTTCACATATAAGGTTCCACATAGAGGAATATTTATAGCATGCTCTCCATTTACAAATTTGCTATCCGACCATTTTTCCTTACTCTTACTTTCTACGAATCCAAATATTGGTTGACAGAAGACCTGCAAATATGAAACACGCTTCGTGAACAATAGAACATTACAGAAGAAGAAAACAAGGATTTTTTCAAGTTGTTTGTTTACCTGATAAGCTCCAATCAAGTGTACTGCTATGCAGACGTTGGCAAAGTCTATTAGCCAAAACGGCTCGTAAAAGCCGAACCCTGTGAGGAAATTTCCTGGTGCATCGTTTCCAAACGCTGCATATCCTAAACAACCACATAACATATAAAACATTGTTGTAGTCAAGATGCCAATCATACTTGCTCTTTTCATGACTTGGTTCTCCGGAGGGCTTGATTTCAAGGTATCCTGTAGAAATGTGGCCCGAACATTAGCAAAATATCATCATAATTTACTTGCCACTGATAATGGTAATCTGATAACAATAATTGGCACTGGCCAATAAAATAATATTAACTTAAAAATTGTTCTGTATTTGTGTAGAATGTAACTAGTGTTATAATTTAATTCAAAGGTTCCATGGGGGACATCCATCCATATATTTGATTTTAATAGATATAATTTTATTTTTTTAGAATAAACTGTATATAAAGATTGTTAATGGTGAACTAGCTACATGTCGGGGGCAGGTGTATGCCAATTGCAAAGGTTTTTGGTTTAGTATTTTTTTTATTTAGTAAAATAAAATATACTGGAATGTTAAAATTATATAACTCTTAAGGATAGCAACGGGGCGGTGGATCTGAGACGGTTTTTACCTTTTTCAAACTTAAATTTTCAAGCAGTTTCCGTTCTCTGTCTCAAACTTAAACGGGGATGAAGAATTAAAACTCAAACTCATCCCCGACGAGTTTGGGTATCTTTGTTCCGCCACCATTCATTTAGTAAAATTAATTTTTTTAAATAGAAATATTTATTTTTTTCTAAAATTAATTTATATTATAAATAATAAAATAAAACAATCTCAAAAAATTTCATACATACATTTCAAATATTTTAAATAATTAATACAAATCAAAATAAAAAACATTAGCCACATATTTGATATTTTGAATTATATTTTAAATAATTAATAAAAATCAAAATAATAAAATATTTGCTACATATTTAATATTTTAAATTAATACAGCTAAATAATAATGTACATAATGAAATAACCTAGGTAAATTTAAGAACAAGTTTGAGGTGGATACTAGTGTTCCTATTATTTAATTTGTTCCTATATTTTTTAATCGGAAAAAATTCAAACTTGAATTTAAAATCAGTTAAAATAGATTTTTTTTCTATTAATTTTAGGATAAATTCGAGTGGGTATTCGCAGTATAAATTATGTTGCCATATCTACTTTTTCAATTAAAAGAAAAGTGAAAGGGAAGTGTGATAGGGTATAGGGTAGGGGAAGTGTAAAATAGTTTTATATTATAATTTAATGAAAAAAATTAATTGTCTGTCATATTATTATTTAAAAAAAAAATATAAATGTAAATGATAGATTATATGATTGTTATTGATTGACAATAATAAAAAATAATAGATTAACGACTTTTTGATAAAATAATTGTATTGTAGTTCTTTTCAATTTTTCACTAGTGGTTTCCAGCTTTAAAAAGATAAAATTGATTTTGAGTTGCTTTTGATGTTTTTGAAAATGAGTTTAAAGGTAGCACTTTTGAGTGTAAATTAATAAACACAAATACCTAATCTAAATTTTAAATTTGTTCATATTAGTATTTTAAATATATAAAAAAGTGACTTAACGTAGTGAAAAAATATTGTATCAGTTCATTTTTCAAATTTTTTACAACATTGTCATACTATTAAAATAAATAATTATAATATCATACTTTTTAATCATATATACCAATGCATCATTTAAAAAAAAATCTCATTATAAAAGTGTTTTTTTTTTAAAACAATGACATAGTTTTAATTCAAAATAGAATTGGAGTCAACTTGGCCCCTCTGCCCTACCGCCACGGTTCCCATGAATCATGCATGATGCATGCATGCAAAACTTAGAAGCTACTACTATAAGACACACACAATGTTGAGATTAATGAGCCTTAAAATAGTTATACTTGCATTAATTAGGCACGTGAAATCTAAATACTTGTCTATATAATACCAACACCATTTCCATTTTCCTTATTATGAAAATAAAAACAACACATTTATTATGCAAATAATAATAATGGTGTTTGTAAATTACAAGATAAATTAACATGATAACTTGCCTGTATCTCAATGAGCACATTAGAATAAGTATAAGCAAACGCAATATCACCAATAGCTTGAAACATCCTCCAAACTTTCTCACTTCCTGTAACATCCACCCCAACTTGCACCCCTGTCAATGATGTTCTCACACCAGGCCCCCCACCTTCACCATCAAACCATATGCATTAGTATAATAATCAATACTAACGCAAATTAGTTAATGTAATATCCTAAATTATAGGACTCATTAATTACCTATTACTTTAGCTACAGAGAGACCTAACCCAATTGCGGAATAAGCAAAAGACATAACAGCTGCAACAATGGAGAGCCATGAAAGTTTATGGAAATTTGGTATTTGACTTAGCACTATTTGAATGCAAGCAAATATAATCATGAAAGGAATATTTGATGTATAACACTTTGCTTCATGTCCATGTTTATGATAACAATTTGACCTCTTCACAGCCCTATAAAAAATAATAATAATTAGAAAAATTAATTATCACGTCATACAATATAAATTATTTATATGAATAAATAAATAAATATATACTTACACCATACTAATTGAAGCAGTTATTGTGTAACCTATAGTTACACCGATGAGATTTATATATTGAGCTAATCCACATAGCTGGAATTTCCTTCCTCCTATTAATTAAAAAAAAATTAAATTATAACTTATAAGTCATAATTAAATAAATAAAATTTAGAAAATATTAATTAATGTGATTTTTTTTTTAATTACCTAAGACAGATCTTACAACTTCTGAGTAAGTGTAGTTTCGTTTGCCGTGAACAGGATCAGGGGAACGATAGGAATCAGCTAAAAGAGTGGAAGTGAAATAAGTGATTAAAGAAAAAGCTAGTAGAACTGCTGGACCAGCAGCCCAACCCATTTGAGCTATTGCCCATGCAAGTGATAAAACTCCTGAACCTATCACTGCTGTTATGATGTGTGCACTTGCAGTCACCCATGTACCTTCAAAACCAATATAAATTAATTTAGTTTAGAAAATAAGTTATTATTCATCATGAGATTATTGATTATCTATAAGCACAAAGACCTCAAACACCATATTAATAATAATTTAAAAAATAAATAAATTAAATATAAATATAAATATTAATACAAATGTTTAATATAAACACATATATTAACGTTGCACGTGTGTGACATTGACACAAATACGAACATGTTTTTTTAGGTGTCGATGTTACATAAGATATTATTATGTACCTGTTCTTTTGACTCGTCCATCATCGTCAAAGTTTTTGCCACCATCGATAAAAGCTTCTGGGGTTTCGATGTACATGTTTTTCTGAGTCATGTTTGAGTGTGAAAGAGGTAATGCCAACAAAATGATAGAATGAAAGAAAGAAAAGTGATAGTTTGTGAGAGAAACAATGAGTGGTTAAATAGAGAAAAAATGAGAAAGTCAAAGGGGGAGTGTGGCACATTTGGTCAAATCAACTTTAAAAAGTGAATATTTTCTTAGTAAAAGAATTTAAATTGATGAATCTCGAAAGTTCTTCTTGTAAAATCCTATTTCAAGATTTTTGTAGGAATAACTCAATGTTGTACGTAATAGGAAAAATAACATTATTTTCAATGAAAAATTCTGTGGAATATCTTAAATTATATTGATCTTGTAGTTTGTTTTGAGCACAATTTATGCTCCATTCTAATATAATTGCTTATTAAGAAAAAACTTTAGGGATTAATTATTTGAGTTGAAGATAATTAAAATAGATGAAATTATTTATAAGATTTCATTCAAAATTAGAATATTTGATTATCTATAAAGCATAAATTTCTATGCAGACATAAAAAATACACTAAGTACATAGATTTTCTGACAACAATAATTTATGCTTCATTTATTTTTATAAAAGTCTATTTTAATAAACATTAATTAAAAAATAATTAGATGTATTTATATATATATATATATATATATATATATATATATATATATATATATATATATATATATATATATATATATATATATATATATATATATATATATATTAACGTAGATCAACTTATTTTTAAGAAAGTTTATTTTAGCAAATTTTAACTAAAAAATACTTAAATGCACCTTAAAGTTTATGTGCTAAAACATGTATTCATAAAAATTAGTGGATGTATTATAGTAAATCCTGGTTGGATTTGCTATAATACACCTACTTATTTTTATAAAGTATATTTTAGCAAATTTAATTTTAAAAAATGGTTAAATACACTCAAAGGTTTATATTGCTAAAATAAACTTTCATAAAAGCGTCATCAAACCCCATGTGTGTATATATATCTATATATAAAAAAAAAATATAATTTTGGTGTAGTTTTTTTTCTCTTTCAAATATACCCTTTTCAGTTTTTATTTTAAATTTTAACTTCTTTTTTTAACAAATGGTAGTTATGTGATAGTTTATTATCTTTTATACAATTATCTATTATTATTATTTTACAAATAATAAATAATAAAATAAAAATTAATTAAAAATAATAATATAATTTATATTTTACATATGTAATTATTATAAAAAATTTGACAGACGTATTTGTCTGAACGCTAATATATATAAAATAAAACGTGTCTATTTGATTAAGAGGTTTCAATTCCACATAATTAATCATCAATATATATATAAAATGAAAAGTGTGTATTTGAATAAGAGGTTTCAAGTCGACATAATTAATTATGAATTGAATAATCTTGTATGAACAAATGATATATGTTAATAAAAGTGAGTTATTGGTTATCTAAAAAAGGCAATATAAAAAAGAGAAAAGTTGAAAGAGGGGTACGGGTGAGAGTAATATAAATGGTGGGTTGGAAGTGTGGAATATGTGACACGACTATGAACCATTGAAGGTGGCAATTGCATGAGGGCCCCACACTAACCCTGTTTTTCTTCTAGTCCATCCATTTAGAGAATTTTCATGGTAGCCAGTTATTAAGGTTTTTCATGAAAGTAGCACAAATAAAGAAAACCATGCATGCCCCCTCCAAAGCACTAGATTCCCTTCACTTTTTGGTATTATTGCCTTTTTGTTCTTTTCTATACTAACACATACTAGTACTAAACTTATGTTTATGTAATTCTTTTGGAAAAATAATCACGTCAATTGATTCCAAAAAATCCGATAAGATTTTTATACAACTAGTTAAAGTCTTATTTCAGAGTCTTTATAAATGGAGGTAATTTTGACATTACAAATCAATTTTGTAGAAAAAATTAAGTTCAATCACATATTTTTAATATGTTATTAGAGTGTAATTTAAAATTCAGTAGACTATCTGATATCATGTTTATGCTATCGAATTACTTATAGTTTATTTTCATATTTCAAATGTCTAATCCTAAACGTGAATGAGTGTGTTAAAAGTCTCGTATTAACAACATAGACTCTTTTATCGCTATTATAAGAAAAAATTTGACATCAAATCTTGGTCAATAATATAAGCAAAAACATTCACTTTCTAACTAATTAAAGATTATATTACTAGTGTACCATTGATTTAATTAAAAAATATTCAAGGTTGGTAGTTGATTAATCAAATATAATTAAGGATATTATAGTAAATTTAACTTTAATTGTATATGAAATTTAAAAAAATTAATTACACGTAATTAATTTTCTTAATTAATATGAAAGTAGTTATTTTTATTTATAAATGTGATTGGAGGATGATAATCTTCATCCAACAAATCAGTTTTATAAAGATGAATAAAATTCAACCATATTTTTTTAAAAATAACTCATTTCAAAAACTCGATAATAAAATTTTCACGTTAGAGTCAAACACGTGTTTTCGTAAAATATGAAACAATTTCTTGTTTACTCAACAAACTTTTGTTAAGAAATAAACATATTGATAATATAATTTAACTTGATATATGTTACTCTCTCTTATAAAAAAAGTTTTATTTATAATCTTTTAAAAATAATTATTATGCACGATCAGTATAAATATTTTATATTATTAATATATCACAACCATTTACAAATAATACTTTATATATTAATATATCACAATTATTTACAAATAATACTTTATATATAATTAAAAAAAAAAGTCATATACCTATACAAAATTAACAACTATGATTCACTGACCTAACTTGTGAATTTTTCTTTGTATACATTAGGTGCAATGATGAAGATCATATCAAGTGCATTATGTATCTTCATTTCATTGGTTCCAACCTCGGAGGCAATAACACACGATCAATTAAATAATGCTTTATTTTTTTTCAAGAAAAGCATTATTATTATACTATTATTAAAGAAAGGAAAAGAGTGAGCTTAATCTTCACACTTTAATCATGCATGTGCCCCTAGTTTTCATGAGCCCCAAATGGATGGTCTTTATTGATGCCCATGATCTGGATATAGCTTTAGCGGTGAATGGTGTATAAAAGATTTTAATTAAAGTAGACATTGGAAATTTAAATGGTCCATGGCCATTAAATATCATGTGCATCTTTAGTAAGTACCTTAAAGATATTTTTAGTAAGAATCATATTGGAATCTCTACTATTGTCTTTATCTTAAGTTTTCTTTATTATGAATATTCACTTCTAAGGGTGTGTAGAACTACTCTACTTGAGTGTGTTCAAACCAATTTCACTTCACTCAAACTATAGACACTTCGAAATGAAATAATTTTTTTTTTGGTTTATAGTTGATATTTGAAGATGTGGTAGAACTACTCTACTTTGATGAATTATGGTTGTGTAGAAATTTGGAATTTGAAGCTTAATTGTGTTTATACATGTGACTCTATGACTGAAATCACGTTTGAATCATCATGATTATGCATGTATAAAATTCTGCCATTGATGGATATTTGAGTGTTTGAATGGTGTACATGATTGTTGATGAAATTGTTGTTGAAATTATTGATGAATTACTACGAATCATGATGAAATAAGTGTTGTAACATGTGATGGTTGTGATAACATATTTTCATTGTTTAATACGTGTTGGAGTTGATTAATTTTGGGAAAAATTGATTGGGGTCATGTATGAACGTTTAGGGATGGAGGGGATGAAGAACAAATATTAAAAACTGGTTATTTTTGGAAAAGGTTGCAGTGACAATCGATTATCGTCCTATGACAATAGATTAAACTAGTTAAAAAATTTAAAAAAATGTTGATGACAATCAATTGCAGGGGAGTCAATCGATTACTTGTTTGGAAAACATGATTTTTTGGAAGTCAGTAGCAAAATTGACTTGAAGACAATCAATTTTCATCTCTTGACAAACGATTTCCTTAGGCCAATTTCTGAAAAATTATGTTTTGCCTTTTGTTGCATAATCCGACGACATTGGCCATAACTTTCGCTCCGTAGGTCTAAATCAGACGTCGTTCGAAGCGTTGGAAAGTTAACGTGCAGAGTTACCTAATGGTAGTTCTTAATGAAATAATTAAGTTGTAGTAATGTATCTACTATAGGGATGCATGTTATGACATGTATGATCGATTAGAAAATAATTGTCTTTGCTTAATGATGTGTTGATGTTATAATGAAATTATTGAGTGCTTGTGAATACGCATTTGATGAGTTGCTGCTATCTGGTGTTTTTTGTTGATTATCATAATGGAAGCTATGGTGGGGGTTCAGGAGCGAGTAGCTGGTTTCAGATGAGAATTGGTGAAGCATTACCTATGGTGATGGTAACAATTTGGTGTGCTATGGTCTTTTGGTGAGGATTCAGAAGCGAGATGGACCTGAGTTGTCCATGAAGGGTACTAAATGCATAATGAGTTAGTTGTTGAGTAAATTGCATACATGTTTGCATATGCAGTTGATTGTTCATGATGTTGTTAATTGGTTGAAAATATGTACATGTTGGTATGAATGGGTGTGATACTACATTGTTATTGATTGTGTAATGAATGTGTATTTGTTGTATATTATCTACCTTGGCATTCCTTACACTGTTTATATTGAATGTTGTTTCTCACCCCATTTGCTTTATGTTGTCCACCATAGACATCTTACAGATACTCGAGAGTGATACCTGTTGTTGTGTGTTGGAAGGTGGCTTGTTGAAGCTACTTTTAACTTTTATTTATCCATTTTATGTTACATTATGGTTTTTATTTCCCTGATCGCATAACATCAGGGACAAGAGATATTATGTTTTTGAAGTTGATGTTGTTTTGTTGTTTTGGAGTTTATAACTTATTTATGAAGTTGTTATGAGAAATGTTTTTCCGATGCATAGTTTAAACTATTTTGAGGTGTTTTCGAATGGTTGTCGTTGGTGACACCTTAAATTGTTGTGTAATGCTTTATTTATAA